AAACCCTAAAAAAAAGAAAAAAATAGTGGTACCATGCACGGTACCACTGCACTTAACTCATTCCCCTATAGTCCCCGACCATACCTTAAAACCCTGAGCCACCCACTCCCTTGCAATCTCTAGCATACCCTAAACCTTCATAGCCACCACCTATTCCACCCACTATCCCCAAGCAGTCGGTCCTATAAAGCACCCATTCTCCAACTAGCAGCATCAGTCCCAGCCTTCACACATAAGTTTAGACTCTCGCAACACCCATACCTTCATCATCTCAAGTTGTTCCCAAAATTCTCAAAACCCCTATCACCCAGCTTTCTCACTTGTTGCCTCACTTAAGCCCTATGCACCCGTAGCCTGGTCCTAGCCTTACACACACCAAAACCAACCCACACCCATGCACCATTAGCCTTCACTTCAGCCCCTTACAAGCACTCCAAACACCTCACCAGAAACCTACCCAGCCACTTATCAGAAAACTAAAAAAAAATACCTAAAAAAAACTCAAATAGAAAAAAAACACAAAAAGATCAATCACACTCCTCCCCTAAGGAAGGAACCTCAGCATCACAGCCCACTGCACAAAAACAAGATAAAAACTATCAATTTTAGTTTATAATAAAAAAACACAAAGAACCAAAACTTTGAAGCTTGATCTGTGTAGATCGAGGTGTTTTCTAATACAGATGTTAGGGAATTGTTAAATAATGATAAAATTAAAAATTAAAAAAAATAATAAATAGTTTCGCCTAGATGTTGGAGAATTATTAAATGGTAATAAAAATAAATAGTTGGTAATAATAATAATGAATTTTTAAGGAAATACTAGAAAGAAAATTTTTTCAAAAATCATAAAAATCGAACTTGCTTCGAAAATTTGCTTAAATGTTGGAGATTTTTAGAAATGTCCATTTTCTTCTCGAAAGCCAAAATGCTCAAAACTTGAAACCTTAAAACCTAAAACCTTAAACTTTAAACCCTTAAAACCCTAAAATCTAAAAGCAAAAAATCCAAAACTTTAAAATTGACACGTAACCCAAAATTATCACCAAACTCTAAGCACATACTTAAAACCATCTTGAAATTTTAAAGATACGTGTGAAAATCTCAAGTAAAGTAATTTATTCTCGAATGCTACCTAGATGATGGGATATTTAGGAAACCTTATTTTATTAAATTTTTTGAGTGAGTCCTTAATTCGCATTAATAATGGGATTAAAACGAATAAATAAAAATATAAAATGAGATCTTAAATATAAATAATCATATTTAAACTCTGCTTAGATGTTAGAGAGTCAATATAGTCTCCTTATGTTTAAGAACCCAATTTCAAATTGCATTTCATCACCTTGCATAACATTCATTGACATACATACGTCATCGTGTTATTGTTTGTACTCGTTTTGCATGTCTATGTCTTTAATTTTTATTTGCTACCTAATAGTACCATCATTTACTTTCTCATATAAAATATTTTATATATAAAAAAAAGAAATACGTACTTTGAAATTGTGAAATTATAAATAATATTCTCAAAAAAATAATTTTTGATACTTTGTCGAGATGTTGGAGAGTCATTAACTATCATCTTCTACAAAGAGTGTTATTTTCATTTTAAGGAATATTATGTTAAATTTTAAGCGAAAAAGTTATTTTAAATTCTGCCTAAAATGTTAAAGAATTTTAAGATAATCCTTTAACTTAAAAATTTCTTCGATATTCCTAAATAAAGAGTTTTAGTAAAATTAATTTTTTTCTTAAAAATGAAGGAAATTAGTATTAAATTTCAAGATCAAAATCATTTCATCCAACACCGAAAATAACGTATGATTAATTAGTACAAATTTAAGGGCATTGTGGGGGTGTTAATCATTTCCTACATGTAACCGACTCCAAAACTCAACCTGATTTTCATAGACTAAAAGTTATCTTTTTAATAAACTTTAAACCTATTTTTATAGTTATTAAAAAAATAAACTTTTGGGTAGCCAATCACATCCTAAAAAAAATTAATGATGACTCCTTTTATTTTTTCTCAAAATTAAAATTTTTCATCTAATAATTCCAAAATCGTTAAGACAATTACTCATATGTATATAGTGATTGTATTTTTTTCTTCCCCCCCCCCCCCTTTTTGTCATTTGGAACAACTTTGTTCTTTATTCTTAGATATATTTAATTTAAATGTCTTGAATTCAAACCCACTCATTATACAACTTAATTAATTAAACTTGAACTTTATTCTTAGATATATATTCAACATATATTCTTTTAACGAGGAATAAGTTCAAAAATTTCTCATTTGGAGATATAAATTATAAATTTCCCAATTAATTGACCTTTATAATATATCCTTAATTAGTTACTCATTAATTAATTCCAAGTTCTGGCACCCAAAGTACCTACTTTTTTTTTCCTTCCCACTTTTAATTTGATAAGTTCTTATTTGTTATTTTTCGGTACTTAACAATTTTAAAATTTTCTACTTTTCGCTCTTCAATAAGTTATTATTACTTTCCTCTTTCTAATTTTCAAGTTCTCACTTTATAATTCCGCTTCTCATCTCTTTTGCGTGTCATGGCATCGTAATTGGCATGCATTTGTTGCTATACTTCAGTCTTCCTCCTTGCTACTCCTACTCCTCGCAATTCATTCATTTCCAAGTTTGCAACATACCCTCTATCCTCTTCCATATAATCTCCAATTAAAACAAATAAAACACAAAACAAAAAAAAACATTTTTATTTCCATTTTGATCTTTAATCCATATTATAAGTAGGTAAATACTTGCCTTCATGTATGTTAATTAGTTATAATGTATGACTTTGGGACATTCCATAAAATTGGGATGAAACAGAAAAAAAAAAAAAAAAGAATAGTCCTGTGTAAGCTAACCATTTCATGTTGCAAGTGCTTAAGGTTATGTCGGGAAGCTAATGTTTTTCGTCAATAATTATATAATCTGTTGATAAACTATTAAATTTTTTATTTATTTAAGTGACCAAAATTTAATTTCTAGTAACCTCGAATATAAAAATAAAAAATTCAATATTGTCCTCTCCGAGGGCTAGGACTTTGATACCATATAGTTTATAAAGCAAAATCAAGTGATAGAACAATCTTCATCATATTTATACAGAGAGAGTAAAGAATTACTTGCATCAATATAAGAGTTACACAATTTTTTTATTATTAGATTAAAATTAAATTTATAATACTTATAGTTAACCATTTTGATTCAAAAATTAAAAAAAAAAGTGTAATTCTTATCCTAATATAAATAAATCATTCATATAAATTAAATTTGGGTGATCCACATTCTTGTATTTTGCGTTTGAATTATATAAAAATGTGAGTGGAAGACAAACACAAAGTCAAAACTGCTTATCCACATGCAGCTTTTGTGCTTATTTCGAGCGCGTAAGGCAGGGGCTACCCATACCATACTCCCCAAGAAACAAGAAACGAAGAAAAAATTGTACCCATACTCCCAACAATCAAATAGATCATGGAAAATAGAGAGAAACCAAACTTTTAAAAGATCGAACAAGATATTGGGACTCATTTTGGTCGGTCATTCTGCAAATAAAGGTTATATACATGCATGCTACCTGCCCTATGCAAGTTGCTTTATGTATTTGAGGGGTGTTCACTTCTTCATGTTAATTGGATATACTATGTATATCGTTGAGTACACAATTAATTAAATATATGTTTGCCCATCTTCTATATATGTATAAGGAAAAAAAAGTTGAGCCCATATATAGAGAATAATGCATCTATGGCGATAGTGATAAATTCAAGTTATCAAGTCTTGAAAGATAAAATTTTGCAAAATAAAACATTGATACAAAATAATTCTAGCTGATTACTACTAAGAAATAAGAAGTTCTTCAATTTTGCTTATGAATAACTCCCGTCTTGTTTTTCTTCTCTATATATCTTGTTATCCTTTAGTCTCATATATACTTTTTCTTTTTATATAAGAGGTTATAATCTAATAAAAATATTTCAAGTAGTGCGATTTAAATCTCAAACTTGTGAAACTCTTCATAATAAATTGCGTTAATACTCAAGGTGGTGTCTCATGTATACTTCACTAATCATAAATTCCTACTAAACTATAATTAATTAAGGAGAGCCTGTTGCTAAATTAATATTTAGAAAGGCTTTATATATTTATATTTTGTTTTCCTATTTTATAGGATCTTGTTCCTCTAGTCCATTTCTACATCTTTCTCATTCATTATTTGTAATTGTAATTAATCTTTTTTTTTTTTTTCATGAGAGAGTTCCAGGATTGGCAATTGATTTCACAACATCAAAATATCTTTAAACTGTTAATTAAGACTAACTAACTAATTGCTTGTGGTTAAGATTTTGGCTTTTAATATATCTATAGAGAGTACAAACACTGCTGAATATATATATATATATATATATATATTAACACTTACCCCTATTTGATCCAAAGAGTTTCGTTATATATATATGTATGTATGTATGTATTATATATGTATGTATGTATGTATATATATATGCTTTGGTTCTGTACTAGGAGTAGTTTAATATCTTGAAATTGGTGAATTCATCACATTTGCACGTTGAGAGAGGCTTGATGGGTGGATCAAGATCAGTCCTCTTATTATATTATTCGATTCCCTGAATTAATATAACTTTTTTATATAAAAGAGATTGTAATTTGGAGATAACAAAAAAAATTTGTAAGTGTTAGAATTTGAATATCAAATTCATTAAATGTCACTTTTTAAAAGCAAGTACGTGAATTAACTGAATTAAATTTTAAATTATAAATTAACACAGCTTTGCACAAAGATTTTTTATTCATTGAACTTCAACTAGGATTTTATCTAGCTAGGTAGTAACAAAGCCCTAAAAAAGGGATAAATTAGATAGAAATGCAAAGGGATAGCATAAAGACAAATTAAAGCACCCTATTACAAAAAGTAGTAGTGAACCCTAATATGAATATGCAAACTGATCTATTGCATAAGCAAACTACGGATTATGGCAGCTTGGGCATTGTCAGTTGTTGCTAGTAGCTCTGATAGCCTCTCACTAAGATCATCAACCTCTCTGTGCAAACTTCTAATGTAGTTGCAAGTCTCTTGTAACACTTTGGCAGCTGAAACCTGTCAACAATAATTATAATAATTAGAACTCATTATAAGCTGTAATTTAGCAAAACAATCCAAAACAGCTGCTGCCATGGGTTTTCCTTTCTTATTATTACTAAAGTGGAGGGAAAATATTTTTTATTAACTCATATCACAGAGAAGACTCTATGATGCACTACTCAAAAGAAAAAGAAAGACTCAGTCTTTCTTTAGTAGATAATTTCAGGAACTAACGAAAATATTTCATGAACAAAATTCACTTCTCCACATTAAACTTTAATCACAAGCTCGATTAATATAAAATTCTGTTTCTAAGTATTATGCTTCATTTGAATGACTGATGAAAAAGAATTTCCATCATATCATCATTTCATTTTATCATTGGATCCTTAAGTATTCGGTCCAAAAACGATGTAATATCGTGAAAAAAAAAAAAGATTTTCACTGACTGTCTAAACGAAGCCTAATATAATTAACAAAATCGCACATCCTACTCTTGTATAGTTATTATCTTCAAGATTATATTGTTCTTGCAAAATGGCATAAGAAACTCCAAATTTAATAACTTATCCATTCTTCCTTTTCTCCATTATAAATAAAAATCAAATATATGCGTGGAAAACTGTCTATATATACAGATATACCAAAATTAAGTAATATTCTTCAGTCACCTCCACACCCCTAATTTTCATTTCGTTTCTTTTTTTTTTTTTTTCTATTAACTATTGCTATGTATAGGTATAAAACAAGGTTGAAAACCCTGTTTCATGACCTTAATAATATTAATTGAATGAAATTATACATCTAAGTTACAAAGAAAAAACCCAAGTAGAAGGGAAGTTGAAAATATATACCTTATCAGAGTGCCTGTTACGAATCTCAGGGAGAAGTTGCTGCAATTTGGCGACAAGATCATTGATCTGATCATCAGTTATTCTTGAACCTCCTGATTGCCTTGATGATCTTGACCTTCTGCTCGACATCTTCTTAATTAGGATATATATTATAGCTAGGAATTGAAGAAGAAGAAGAAGAAGAAGAAAAGCTACTTAATTTGTTAGCTAGGGTGCAAATGCAAAGTAAGAGATATTAGTATGTATATAAAACAACTTAAAAAAAGATGAGCTGAGGAACACAAACGAGTGGTGGTGAGGGAGACAAGTTGTGGAGGAAGAGATATAGTGGTATGCTTTGAACTTTGAAGAAACAAGAGAGCGAAGAAGAAATAGACTCAAACTCAACCCGAGGGAAGGCTGAAAGCTAGTGGAGAGGAGACATTTCGCATGGGAGAAGGAGTTGCAAAAGCCTTGTATTTAAATAGGGTTTTGGAGAGAGAAAAAAAAAAAAGAATCAACTCTCCTTGGATACGCCACACTGTCTTTCTTTAGGTCTGTTCCCAATTTGCTTCAACTTATAATTTTGATCTAACAATTGTTCTGATCTGATCTTTCTCTCTTTCAACCAAAGAGAGAGAGAGAGAGAGAGAGAGAGAGAGGTGCTTGGTTTTAGGGCAGCCGATCAATGTTTGTCAGGGACTCTGAGTCCTCACGCAATACCACGTAATTGTATTTTAATATTTTCATCACTGTTAAAACTAGCTAGCTAGCTAGTTTTCTCGTGTCGAAAAGAGCAAAATAGAAACAATTAAGCCAATCACTTACGGATAAGCTAATCACTTACGGATCATTAATTATGATTATGTAATTTAATATAGTTTATTTTGATGTTATTTTATAAAAGTTTGAACATAGATACAATGGATGGGTCTTTCATTATTTTGAGTATCAAATGAACGTTATTTTGGGTATCGAATTTCCTTTAATAGTTAATTCTTTTATAATTTTAAATACAATATTGTTTACATCGAATTGTTTACGAGGAATAAAATTTTGATAACACAAAAAAGAAAAATCGATTAAATATAAAAGTCAGGAGTTATCATGGTGTTTATGTTCCTACATTCAAATTAGAGTTCAATCTAGAAAAGGAAATGAGAATAAAAGCTTAAAAGTCGGGAATGCTAGATAGATTGAAAATACTTGGATCGGGTTATTTATACTTGTGTGATGGGAAACTTTGGACCTAAATAGCCTTAGGGGACTAGGACTGATTTCATAGGCTTGAGTTGAGCTGTCAATTGACTATTCATTCAGAGTATAACAAGTCAACATCTTGAGGCACTAGCTGTAAACTGTTGAGGTGGTCAACTTGACATGGACCTCCCGATTTCAAGCTAGTCTGACATATCAGTTCGGTCGAAATGACCAAAATGCACACATTTGTCAACTGACTTATATTCTAGAAGAAAATATCTATTTTGCTCTCTAGATACTAAAATGCTCCTAACGTTCTATTCTTGATGGACTAACGAGGATAAGATTGGTCGATCTGTTATCGTTTAGACAAAGCTGTAAATTGAATGTGATTTTTTAGCTTTCATGGAGTCATCTAAACAAAATATTTGAACGACTGTCCCAACTTCATTATTTCTAACTCATCATATAGGGTGATGCCGACATGGATGAGATTGTATCATTATTTGAGTATGAGATGACACGATCGATGCATGTTTGTATGTGATCGTGGATGTGATACTCATAGTTGTAGATACGTAATTTTGTCCTATCAGTTCAAGCTTATTCGATCAAAAACACATGATTTGAGCATTTTGATTTAAGCTAGTTTAAGTGTTCTAATTGGACTCATTTGGATTTTGTTTTGGATTATTTGTTTTTGAATCATTTTTGTATGGGTTAAAGCCCAATTCGATTTAATTTGGATCAATTTGATTTTAAGGCCCAAATTTATTTATTTATATATATATATTCTTAGATTTAATTACTTTTATTAATCCATAAATTACAAAAAAACAAAAAAAGGTAAAATATTGAAAAAAATGCAAGGTAAGAATGGATGGTCGAATTTCGGTTGCCAGAGCTTTTCCCTTTTGCTTTCCTTCTACCCCAAAATCAGCACTGCTAAGTTCTATTTCCAGCTATCCCTTGTCTTTACCTATATTTTATCCTTATTCACTTTCAATATGAATTTAGCAAAGACACTTAGCCCCAAATGTAGTATGCTACATCTCTTGAAATATAGCAATAGTTGTTGCAACAATACTAAAAAAGCACCAGTGCTTAACAAATACTTGATCTCATACGAGGAGGAGAAAAATTTTTTTCCTCAGAAACCATTCAACTAAGAAAAAACTCCAAGCCAAATAAACCTAATGGCAACCACCCTAGCCTACAGTCACCACCCATGAAACACCAAAGCCCTGATAGTCACCAAGTCAGAATCTTCCCTATCACTCATCATTCAACCACCCTATGATCAATCCCTGATAGCTGAACACCAACCCATCCCTGACTGCCCCTATTTCCAACCTTTACCCACTATTACCTAAAACCAAGATCGTACGAAACACCACCCATCTCCAGCCTTTGCATGCACTCGACCCATAACATCTAAAGGCAAACAAACCAAAACAAAAAAAAGAACCACAGTCCTTATCGATCTCGGTGAAGAACCCAGCACCAAGATTGACCTTGAAAAATAATAGCAAAGATCAGTTTCGGGTTATTGAAAAAAAAAGAATTTATTTAGCAAAAAAAAAAAGAAAAAGAAAAAGAAGGGCATTGATAACAAAAAGATTTGACGGAATAAGAAAAGGAAAAAAAAAGAGGAACCAATGACTGGGAGAAGGAATAGCGTTGAACCAAAAAAAAAAAAAAAATTAGTTTCACCAAAAGAAAAAAGAGGTGAATGGCTGTGACTTCCCTTTGGCTAATCACCGAAGGTGAAAATGAGAAGAAGAAGGTGGAAGACATCATATATTGACCTAAGACCCTACTTAAACACTATTGACTTGACCTATGACCCAGCCTCTCCAAACTCGACCTATTCCTCTAATTCAACCCACTTGTTCCATTCAAGCCTGCTTCAAATCTATCAAATTAGGCTCCCTTCTTATTTTGGATCATATTGGATTTAAGCCTAATAGACTATTTGGGTATCTTTTTTACTTTTATTTTATTTTATTATGATGTTATATGCATTCATTTAATATTGTACACCTTTAAAAGTAAACTTATTTATGGATGATTAAGCTTGATAAAAAAAATTTCTCTATAATTTCTTAAATAAAAATAAATTGAAATAATTTCACACTTTTAAAATGTATTTTGAAAAGGAAATTTTAGGGATAAAATATAACAATATTTATACGAAATAATTTTTTTATTTTAAAAAAAATGATTTTGAAAACCTTAGACGTTAGAGAGAATTCAAAATCATATTTTAAAAAAAATTAATTCTACCTAGATGTTGGAGAATTAAAAAATCAAAAATTAAAAAACTAGGTTAAGTTAAATTAAATTAGAATTTAAAATATAAGGTAAAAGTTTTCATAAATAAATTAAATAACAAGTAAAATTTATTCCACTTTTAATTTTAGAAAGGAAATTTTCATAAGTAAATAAAAATAAAATATGTATAAAAATTGATTACATTGGTTGTTTTAATTTTTAGCTTTCATATGCATAATTTATTTGTTTCTGTTGCATTGATATAAAATTGTCAAGGAAAAAAGAGAATTACAAAAACCGAACTTATTTCGAAAATCTGTCTAAATGTTGGAAATAATTAAAAGAGTTTGAGTTATCGATAATTCTCTTTTTTTAAACACAAAAAAAAAATTAAAATGCAAAAACCCTCAAAACCCTAGAACTTTAAAACCTCAAAATCTCAAAACCCTAAACCCTCAAAATTCTAAAGCCTAAATACTAGAAACCCTAAAACACAAAACCTAAAAACCTCAAAACCCAAGAACCTCAAAACTTTAAAATTCAAAACCTTAAAACTCCCGAACCCTAAAATCCAAAACCTTAAGATGCTCAAATCCTAAATCTAAAACCCTAAAATCCTTAAAACTCTAAAACCCTTAAAATTCAAAATCTTAAAACCTTAAACCTTAAATACTCAAAACCTTAAAATTCAAAACCCTAAAACCCTCAAATCCTATAACCCCAAACCTTTAAAACCTTAAAATATCGAAACCCTAAATTTGAAACCTAAAAATCCTCAAAATCTCAAAACTTTAAAACCGTAAAATGCTAAAACACTAAAACATCAAACCCTAAAATTAAAACCTTAAAATCGTAAAACCCTAAAATCATAAAACCCTAAAACCTTGAAACTTTAAAGCGAGACCTTAAATCCTAAAAATCCATCAAGACCTTAAATTTAACCCAAACCCTAAATTCAACTTACAACCCTAAGTCATCAACAAAAATCATTCAAACCCTAAAAAACTCGACATAAGCCCACTCTCAAAATCATTCCAAATTCTAAAGATACGTATGAAAAACTTCATATGAAGTAATTTGTTTCCAAATATGGCCAAAAAGATTAGAAAATGTTATTTCATCAAGTTTTTTTTGTACGAGTCATTAACCTTCAATAATAATGAGATTAAATAAAAAAAATTAAAAATGAGATCTTAAATATAAATAGTCGCACATAAACTCTACTTAGAGATTGAAGAGTTCGGGTGATCCTTACTATATTTAAAAAAACATTTTCAAAATTGCATTTCATCATCATACATGGCATCTATTGGCATACATGCATATATTCATTATTGTTGGTACTCGTTTCGCACGTTTATACCTTTAATTATCATTTGCCAGCTAATAATACCATCAATAGTTTTTTGCATAAAAATATTTTTTTAAATGTAGTTTAAAATGTGAAATTATAAAATAAAATAAAAATAACATTTCAAAAGAAATAATTCTTAATACTCTACCTAGATGTTAGAAAGTCACTAACAATTCTTTTTTAACAAAAAATGTTATTTTCATTTTCAATGAATGTTATAATAAATCTTAGATGAAAAGAACTGTCTTTAAATTTTACCTTTGAAAGATTTTAAGTTAATTCTTTAATTTAAAGATTTTTTTTTTTTGCAATGTTCTTAAATAAAAGACTAGTAACATTGATTTTTTTTCAAAAAAAAAAATGAACGAAATTATTATTAAATTTCAAGTCAAAACCATTTTATCTAACTCTGAAAGTAAGGCATGATTAATTGATACTAATTTTCATAGGCACTATGGAGGTGCTAATCCTTCTTTATATGAAATTAACTCCTAAACCCAATTTCGTTTTAGTAGACCAAAATTATTTTTTTTTTATAAATTTTAAATTCATTTTATCATTTTATTAAAAAAATAAACTTTTGGGTAACCAATCATACTTTAAAAAAAATTGATAACAACTGTTTTATTTTTTTAATTTTAAAATTTTTTTATCTAACGATCTCAAAATTGTTATGATAGTGGTGAATATAATATACCCGACATTTTATTAGGTCTATAACCGACATAATATTTGTAAACTTTTTATAATGAATCACATCAAGTCCAATGTAACATTGCGTGTACAACCAATGTGATCCCTGAGATTCGACGTTTGTGAATACTCTTGGATTTGCTTATCAAAGTTTTAATAAACAAATATAATTCTTAAGGTCTTAATTAAGAAAAGATAAAGCAAGAGAAAATAGATGAAAAAGAAATTAAGCAAGGGTAATTAGGTTGACTGGTCAAGTCTAAGAAACGAAGCAGCGCACACACTCACACACCATGTTCTTTGCACCGCACCACACGTGTTATCTTGGAGACCCCAAAACTCCAAGCCTTAGCGTTACACCGACCCTGTTCCGGGGCTTTTGGTTTTTATATTCTCACATCTCACTCCGCCCCCAACAAATATATACAAAGGGTTTTATAAGGTT